AAAAAAGCGAGGTCGACAAGAGACCGTGAAAGGAGAAAGGAAATGGAAAACACAACCATTGTTCCTTGTGACGATCAAACTGGAAGAGAAAGAGTTTGATGGCAGGAAGATTGACTACTCAGTGGCAAAATAAATTGCAAACGTTCCTCGATGTCTTTAACACCGATGCTGTAGGGGTTCTTTGAAACTCAAATCAATGGTGTTCTTATTTCTTTGGGAAACCACCTTTCAGACTCGTGGTAGAATGTGGGTAGATAAAGCTACTAGTTACAACATGACAGCACAAGTCACTATGCGTATTTTCTGTTTTTATGATTTGCTATGATTTTAAAATATTTTTTGTTTCCTTTACTCAGAGGCCTGAATTTCTGTTCTTCACATGAGGGCCTCAAGAAATTGTCGGAAAAGAGCCGAAAACCCTGTTTGAAAGGATAATATTTTCCACATGCTTGACAATGTCGGTAATAAGACCAAATAGTCTGACTAGGTTCCAAAACTTCGATTTGTTTTATTATGATGAACTTCTCTCTCCCCCTCTCTCTTACACACTGCTCTACTCTCTTTTAAAAATATGGTACGATCCTAATGTTCTATTGTTGAAATCCTGTCACCTTTCTCAAATTAACCGGAGATCAATTGACGTTTAACAATCTCTGACAACAAATGTTGTCCACAAGCCTTCCGCATCTTCATAAAAAATATATATAGGCGGGGGATTCAGTAAAACCCGGTCTGCTGACCCTGTAAGACCTCTTGCCGTCCTATGTTAAGCTTACGAACAGGCTCTTGTGTTTGAGTAGTGAGAAAATCTATCCAGGAATATGTTTAGATTTTATCATCAACAGGGCCTATGAACAGGTTAGCAGTATGGAGTTACTTGAAGAGACATGAAGAGCAACCCTTATCCCACAAATAAATTATTTGCAGAAAATCCACTCAAGACTTGTTTACATTAAACATCTGTTGTATCTTTACCGTGTAGTTTACGCATGAATTTGTTTTGGTCTCAGTGCTTACCCTATGTACCAGTCTACACCTGGGCGTCAAACTGGCGATTCTGACGTGAACTGGTGAGAGGCCTAGTTGTAGTGAAATTTGTCCTAAAGGACGCAATCTGGTCACTCGATTCTACCCAGTCTCTCTCGGGCCTGATGACCTTGCATCTAGCTTGAAGGGCCACCCACGGGGGAAGGTGAGACTACACGTAAACTACCTTGCATCCTTTCTGAACCATCGCTACCAATGCATACAATGTAGTCAGTTGCAGCAGTCTAACTCCTTAATTGGTTTCTTTTTGCTCGAAGTGCTAGAAATCATGATACTATATAATGGTTCCACCAACTTAATATCGTAACTTGGACTTGAAGGGATAGATTGACTTGTGATGAGCTTACTTGCGCACTAGCTAAAATAAATAAACAAACAGAAAGAACCAGCCTAAAACAATGGCGAAGAACGTGCTTTTTTAAAAAACTATTTTATGATGTTAAGAAGTTGTAGAAAAACATCTACAATTTTGCAAAATTTTACAACATGAATGTAAAAACCCGGGAAGAGTAGCGCTTAGTTAACGATAATCTTTACACAGAACTTGCAGATTGGTGATGTTCTGTTCCTTGGACAATCGGGCCTCTGATAGGCAGGTTCGTTATACTTCCTGCGTTCTCTATATTCTTGCTAGCAAATGAGATTTTCGGTAATGGATAAGTTATCATTTTCCTAAACGCAGTACGGAATTTCTTCTTGAAGTACATCAGTAGCCAGGGGTTGACAGCGCTATTTGCATGTCCACACCAATAGCAAAACAGCATAAAATGATACGGTAGCGATTGACGCACTCTGAAGTTAATGGCCAGAATCATATGATACGCATGCGCTGGAAGCCAGCAAAGTGCAAAGGCAACAACGACAGCAATTGACATATGAATCACTTGACGCTTGGTAGCGTTGGCCCGAGTTGTTGCACGATTGTTGATGGCAATGCCCGGAAGTTTGTGTTTGTAAAGTGTGCGACAAACGTGTCCATAGAGAATACACATTGTTACTAAGGGGAACAAGTAGATAGCGACTATGATGTAAAGATATTCGCCTCTTAAAGCCGCTTGAATCCCGCCAAACTGTGAAAACTTGTACACTATCCTGGAGTTCTTTACTTTGATTATGACCAGCCATGGAGTCATCAGACACATTGAGGTAATCCAAATTGTGGGAATTAGTATCTTTTTGTTCCTAAAGCGAGGGAACTTTTGCATGGGGAAGGCAATCCCGAAGAAGAAGTCAAAAGCCATGGCTGTTAGAGAGAAGACGGACGCCGTGATGGCCACGAAGAAAACAAACATGATAAACTTGGCAAGGAACTCACCAAATGCTCCATCTATCCACAGTTGGTCCAAAATGATAAGTTCCAACGACTGAGGCATCACAACAGCTGTTACGAGCAGGTCGGCTACAGCGAGGTTTACGTACATGAAGCTTGTTAATTTTCTGGTTTCTGGTTTCTTGTACAGAATGTAGATCACCAAAGTGTTTCCGACTAAGGCCAATGAAATGATTGCAGTGTATAAGATGGCGAAGATGAGTTTAATACTTGATGGGTACAAGAATGGAGGCTGTGCTGTGGTGCCTGAAAGGGAGTGAATCACGGTTCTTAGAGAAGAAAAACTAAAAAGGCAATGCGTACGATATCAAACGGCGACATAGATAGCAACAATACACGGTAACAAAAATCGGAAAATATCTACTAAACCAAAGCCCTCTCCATCACTGAGGAGTGTATCAATGCTGCCACAAGGGAGCTTGCAATTAGTAAGAGAACATCCCAAAGCTCTCTGTGCTCCTGTTTTTTACGGGTGTTGCAACAGCAGCAATGGTAACGTTAGCTATTTTCAATACACCTTTAGGCGCTATTTGTGAAGGTGAATTTCTTACCGTTTTCTGGCGGCGAGGACATTGCTGGATCTGCAGCTTTTCAGTTCAAACTATTTGAAGTAGCCAGCATAAAACATGTGATTACTTGGTTGACGGGATTAGTTCAGCTACAAAAAACTGAACTGAGGTCGTCTCTGTTGTCTGAGGCAGCGTTACATTCCTTGGATATGGGGTCTGCTGGAACAAAAAACTGAGGTCCAGATTACCATTGTCAAAATTACAAAAATCTGGATGCTTACCACAATTAGGCGCTGGCATAAAATCAGAAAGGAATCAACATATGGCTTAATGCTCTGTTAAGCATTAGGGCATGTTTTGCATGAAGTTACCATGAATTAGCTGAAGCCAGCTTAAAAATAGGGAGAGTTCATGTCTTTGTTGGTGTGAAAGGTTACAAGATGCATTGTTCGTTTTCTTTCTTTTCTTGTTTGTTTAATCTTGATCATGAAAACTCATTTCACCTAGTTTCCCTCTCAAGAAGGCCTTGAATCAATATTTCTCAGTGATGGAGAATGGTCTTCAAAAGCGATTGCCGAAACCGAGAACCAATTATTGAAAGCGTAGCTTCTCCTATAGCGGGGCCACGTTATAGAATAACTTGCTTAATGGCTCAAAAGTTGTCGGATCTGTCGACCAATTTAAACGAAATCTGAAGAAGGTATCCAACATATCGGATTCCCACAACGGGCAATCATGTAAAATCAGCTGTAAATAATCTTAGTTTTTAACTTGTGATGCTCATCTGATGATTTTTCTTGTTTAAATATAGCCGACGCAGCACCATAGTTTCTTTAGAAACTTACCCCCTCTACTTAATTTTCCTTCGAACACGAAGAAGTCGCTAATTCTGAGGTTTTCATATTCAAAATGTGTTTTCAAGGCCTTCCGTGACTCCGTAAACCTGAAGTAACTTCTCTATTTGCTTAGCTCTTAGTCTTAACGCATCCACATTTATTCTCAAAACCTCGCCTTTCTGCTCATCAACTGTATGTATAATTGAAATTGGCTGTACTTCTTTAGTTCTTTAGTGGAATTTGCCGGTTATAACACAGGGCATCATTTACGACGACAGCTTCGTTAGAGAAATAAAGATAGAAAATAACAACTTAACTAGAGGAACTTAATCTTCGGGCAGTCCATTAGCAGTAAACCAATTTGTGGACTGAGGCATTGCGAATTCTGTACCAATCCTTTTTTTCGTCATCCGAGTTATTTAAAAAAAAAAAAAAAAAGATGGCTTATGATTGCGGCGTATTTATCGCAAAACGCAAGGAAACAGTGACAAAAACACCTCTTCAATAAAAGTGATAAACAGGGTAATTAAATAAATACGTCATACAAAGTGCTTTATCTTCCTTTCTGTTTTAAATAACCCAGTGTAACGCTAAATTCAATCCACCCCTGCAGTTAATCACATCTGTCTACATCACTTTCATTTTGCCTAAACCCAGGGTAACTATGCACACGAAGGAAATTAAGGATGATGTGGTAAAAATCGTATAAAGTTGAAAAATTAATAGCACATAGTGAATAATTGAGAAGCTAGAGCCTGTCGTAAAAATTTAAGCAAAATATTACAAATACATCACTCCATGTAACACTCGTATGTATTTTAGGTTTTCCTCCGATATCTAATTAAGACATGATCACAGCGATGACTGGCATAAAAGTTCCTTTTGCAACAGTTCTGATTTTTCTATAACGGTAACAGCCAAAAAACAAAAAGACGCAACAAGGCAAAACAAGTTAAAAAGACAGCCTGACACAGCGTGTCTCCCATTTGTGGAATTTAGGAGGATATGAAATCAAAAAGTGACCCACAGCACAAATTCTATACTAATATTTGTGTTTATAATCTCGAATATACACCTAATTGCAGTAACGTTGTCATGGGAAAGAACAAAAAGAAAGAGGAAAACAGCCAAACTTAAATTGATCTATAAATTATTAATTTTTGGATTCACATGAAATTTGTAAACAACATCTGTTACTCTCGAGAACTTTGAGATTATCTTTACGCCAAATTCAGTGGGAATTGCGCGGCTGCCGGGCATAGAGCCAGAGGATACTTTTATGATAACAAATTCCCAATTGGCGTTTTCCTTTTATTCTTTTTGCCTTTTCTATGGCACTTATGCACAACGACACTGAAGAAAAAGTTGACAGAAGTTTTAACCGACCCCATAAATGCAATGGGGTTTACATTGCCAGAAATTTAAAAATTTTGGCGATTTCACTTTGATTATTGCTAAGCAGCGCTCTTAAGGGAACGAAGCAGAGTCAGAGTCAAAGCTGAAACAGATTGCACGAGTTACAAGAGCCGTTGCGAGTGTCTCATTATGGTCCACCATTTTGAAAACCGTGAGGGGCTTAGGGAAAGATTTTTGGACCTAACGACACTATAACATAGTAGTCAGGGAGCAGATGCAAAAAACAACGAGTTTCGTTCAACCATCGGAAGAGCGCGTGACACAAAAACCGTGTCTTGTGAAATGTATGCCCCAATTCAACTCTACGAATAACCCTACCTTGATCAGGAGGTCTTTCTCTGCCAGACAAGCAGTAGCCTGATGATTGTCTTGTAAAAGGCATGAAACTCAGAGTAGCAAATAAATGGTTTCGACCTAATTCAAGTCTACATATCTATATTTAACAATTATTTGTCGAAGGCGAGGTGAATATCGCCGAATAATCCCCGAGACGAGGTCGAGGGGATTATAATTTCATTTAATTTAGTCCATTTTCACTACATTAAGTTTTGCAGTGGGGAAGGACTAGAAAGGAACATAAGAACCATTCGTGCTAATCCACCCTCCCACCCATCCCACCCCAGGGAAGGACATCCATCGCACAGTAATCTCGTGTGTGGGAAATTGACGTCTCCTACCCCAACCCTGCAGGAGACGGGACCTCCATTTATTCGTCCCTATCCGAGAAGACTAGAATATCTTACATTTCTTGATGTTATAGAAAGGTAACAAATTCTTCTCAATTATTTTAAGACCCTGAGTGTTGGTCCGGCTGGGGCTCGAATAATAACCGGGAGGCGGTTATTATTCGACAATATTCACCAAAACCTGAGGCGAATAATTGTTTTAGTATAATTTCAGAGCTACATAACAGAGAAATTTCTAAAATCATAACATTTTAGTAACATTTATTAACATTTTATTTTAACATTTTATATAAACCGCTTGGAGCGGTTTATATAGCGTCATAGAAGGAACCGCTCGACCACTCAGATCGCTGGAAACTCTTTGCTCAGCTCTGAAATTATACTAAATATACATATCTACAAACGTAAAAACTTTACCCTGCCAAGTTAATGGTTCAAGCATGCCTTATCGAGTATTTGGTTGAGTGGCGGCACGCACTCGCCAGTTCATTCCTTTTGTTCAGGATGCCCACCCCTGTTCTGCATATGATGAAAAATTTTTCTGTTGCGCAAAGATTGCATCTCTTTGTTACGTTCGAGTACGGCCTGGCGCAGGTTACGTAAAGTTGACTAACTTTACGTAACAGAAANAAAATATATGAACTTCATATATTCATTGTATCTGATTTATCATCACGGGTTTATTACGAATCAACTTAACGGCCTGCTCCCAGTTGGCTTGTTAGCTCAATTGGTAGAGCGCTGCACTAGTATCGCAGAGGTCAGTGGTTCGAATCCCGTACAGGCCTGATTTTTTTCAGGTCTGATTTTCGCTATTGCATAAATAGCGCTATCTACTGCGAAGGATCGTGCATCATACGTATCTAATACCGCAGTTCAAAATATATGAACTTCATATATTCATTGTATCAAATATTTTTCCCTTGACTCAATCTCAGACGGAAATTTGTCGCAGTGGAAATTCCCGCCCCAGCACCTCCGTCCCCGTTTGTAAATTTTCTAGATTGGACAAGGCAGGAAGCAGGCTAAAAGAAAAATACAAATGAATAAAGGCTGATAGTTTCGAAAGAAACTGTTTGGGGCTGCGTCGGTGGGAGTAACGAAATAATTTGGATATATCAACAAAGTTGAAATGGTAAATTGGCCACCGTAACGATTACAAAAGCTGACGTTTCGAGCGTTAGCCCTTCGTCGGAGCGAAAGACGAAGGGCTAACGCTCGAAACGTCAGCTTTTGTAATCGTTACAGTGGCCAATTTACCATTTCAACTTTGTTGATATATCCAAATTACTTAGATGTTTAGGTTTCATACTGCATACTGGCAAGTTCTAGGCAAGACACAAGTTTTTCGGAATTCGAGCCACTAAAATTTGCTTCTGTTTTTTCTCATTTTTCCAGCTTTATGCTTTGGGCTGTTTGCATTGGTTCAACCTGTGATAAAGGCCGAATTCGATTTGCGTGCTGGTTTCAACGCCCCCTTAAAGTAAATATCATTATCTCACCAGGTTGCTTATGATTATTAGGTAACGTACGTCACGCAGCGCAAGCTAAGGATGGACACACGGCATCCTAACACCATACGATAGTTCATAGGCACTTGTGCTTGGAAGCCATTGTATTCAGAGTTTGCATCGGAGAAAAATTATCTTAGAAATTAAACTATTGTATAACAAAAATTGTGAGGAAGAAATTATAAGAATGGAGAGAAGATTCTGTCACTGTGAGCCCTGACTGCTGGGTTTCTAGAATATCAAGTGATGACAAAAAAAGTATGACTCTGTCACGAAATAAGTTCCCGCAGTCGATGCGAAAACGCTTCATGATCCAATTGAACTCACTACGCGTCGTAATGGAGCAAATCGTCCGTTTTTGAGGAAACTGCAAATCCGATCAGGTGATTGATACAAGCATTCCTAAGCACTTAAACACATTGTGCCAATAGGGTGTCTATATAATTAAAGACGTCTTTCTAACCTGGGTCTGTTGTTGCTGATATCCTCTCAATGGCCTGTGCCTGATGTTTTAAAGGAATGAAGACGGCTCTTAACAGTAATCGGAGTCTTTGTGGATTGATCAAAGGTAGTTATGTAGTTAGAACTGTAAAAGAACAAAAGCAGTTCTTGTGTGACTTGAGGTACAGATCCAGATTAAAAGTACCCCAAAGCACTCGCGGTTATTCCCGCGGCCTCCATCATGATACTTTGCAAATAAACTAAATCTCTTGATAAAAAACATCCGGAGCACTTTCTTAAGTCTGACAGAAAAAAAAAAATCAAGTTAAATCTTATATCGACTTACAGGATCAGGGCACAGTTGCGCTCTGCATCACAACAAATAAATTACAATAAAAGATGAGATGTGATTGGTTGAACTAAAATGACTATTGACTATCGCGCGCTAGGATCTCTAGAAAACTTGAACACAATGTGCGACCAACTGCTGTGTAGATAAACACTGTCGTGAGAAAGAAACTAGATCCGCGATGGTTTATCAGATCAATGAGGTTTTAAATACTTGAACTTTGGGTGGTATGTTTCCTTTGTATAAAATAACACGCGAACGTTCTTCATACAAAGGGAGAGTTGATTATAATTTTGCCCGAGGAAGGACTTCAACCTTTAGCTCAAAATGGAATAAGCTATCTTTAAAGGTGCGTTATCGGAAAAAAAAAAAAAAAAAACAGAATGATCAGTGTGATCTCGAAAACGAGATCACCGTCGAACAGGATAACCACCGTCATGCATGGTTCCTTCATAAAAATATCTGCTACGTAATTGGTTTCCGATTTAAAGAGGAAAAAAATCCAGATTA